TAAATGACGCTGCTGAAGAAGTGTCACCTGAAAAAGCCACTGTCGAAGAAGAAACTCTACTCATTATTGAGAAGGGAAACGGTGAAGCTCTTGATGAAGTTACTACCACTGATGTGACTGTTAGCGACGATAGGACATTTCCTGATGATGCAGATGAACCCCACGTGAAGCAGAAGCCAACGAGACGGAGACCAGTACGGAAGAAGATACGTCCCGTAAAATTAAGAGACTTTGTTGAATTGTAATTTTGTGTTTGTAATTCTGTACATTTAATTAAGTTATTGTTAATTGTTGTTGATTTAATGTAAGTGGCTATTGTTCGTCCGGGGCAGTGTTACGACATCGAGGTCACGTGACTAGTATCACGCCACGTCATTCTCGAACTTTCATGTCTTTTCCTTAAATCTCGTGATCTTTCTAGATATAGTGTAGTCTTGTATATATAAGACCGGCCACGAAGCGACGGAGAGGTAATGAGTAATTGAATGTATGCGGATAAAATACTGTTGGCCAGATGAGACGTGAGTTATAGCGTTGTTGTAGAGCGACTGTTGAAATTAAGTGTATCGTAAAGTTGTATTCGGAAAGAATAAACCAGTTTTATTTAAGAAAGGACTTGTGTCGCTAAAGTTTCGTCGGAACGAATTTACGGAAAATTAACTGACGAACAGAGACGTAACATTATTAATTTACTTTAATGACAAGAGGAAAGGTTTCTCATGTTGTCACTTTTTATATCAGGGACAAATGTGTATTAAAGACCGTTCACGCATCTAGATATTAAGTATAAATCGAAAGTCTGAACAAAATCTAGATATACATTACAGTATCTGGTCAGGTACTAACTAGTTCGATATTAATTATTTAAGATTTGTTTCTTGAGGTTTACGAGTTAATATTGGCTATTATCATTGAAATAACACAGCTAACAAAACCATGTACAGGCCCGTACGCAGAATGTTTGAAAGTGGGTTCTAATTTGTGAGATCAAAAGTCAACACATTGTGCGAAGCACAATCAGCATGCTAATACTTCAAGGGTTTGGGGACATGTGACTATTTCAAGCCAAAAATACAAATGCTTCATCAGAAATAGGGGTCCGTGTGTGATGTGGGTGATTCAACTCACATAACCAAAACCGAAATAAACGTTTAATTATGTTCTATTCTACAAAATACAAACATTTTATTTACTGTGTTTTAATTAACTTATGAGGAAATTAAAAAAAGAAAAATGTCATTACAAAGTTTTTTACTTAGCCTTTGATATTTACCGTACAATTTTCATCTTAGAAATCCTTATTTACTCCATATTAGAACTTAGGAATGTAGGTAAAAATTTGTAAATTTTTTTAATATTATTTTTCCAGAATGAAACTGAAAATTCTAAACTATAGGCTACTATTATCCTAGTTCTAAGATTGTTTGTAGTTAAGCACAAAGCTACACAATGTTCTGCCCACCACGGGTATCGAAACCCGGTTTCTAGCGTTGTAAGTCCGCAGACATGCCGCTGTGCCACTGGGGGCAAGTTCTAAGAACAGCTATGAAATAGACAGAGAGAAAGAAATAGAACAGAGTGATGTTATCAGCATTTATCCTGTAGTTTCTTCTCCAACAAATGTCAGCAATAATTTTTATAATTACTTTTTTCGACCTTGGGGAGGGAAAATTCTGTTTAGTTTCTTCTTATAGTAGACGCATGGAAGTTATGGCAACAGGAATGCTAACTTCAGAAGATAAGTTTTTATTTATAACTCCAGATTATTTTATTGTAGTAACCTATTTTATTTTCATTTTAAAATTCTATTTCATTATGTACAATCAATTTCCCAAAAACATGATGTGGTCGGCGGCAAATATCAGTTTTAAATGAATATCGCTGTGGGCTTGACACATGTAACTGCTCTTTGTGTTTAATGCTTTTCCCCAGATTTAAGTTTTGTTAACAAATCTAGTAGAAGGTTCATTCCTACTTCTCTGTTGGTCTTTCTATATTTATTGAACCCCACTGTTATTTGTTCGTTACAGAGGAAACAAACATTTTTAACTACTTACTGAGGTTAGTCCCCCAGTGGTTCAATAGTTAATATGCGTGCTTACGACGCTAAAAATTGGGTTTCGAACTCGTGGCGGGCAGAGCACAGAGAGTCCATTCTCTAGCTTTGGGCTTAACAACAAACCAAACCCAAAGGTTAGAAAACGCCCTCTGTTAAAAAAGAAATGCATAAAATAAAGGATATGGAGATAATTCATAACATTGTTTAACACGTGGTTAGTACGTGTATATTTTTTATATAGCTATAAATACGTTTCAAAGTAATATTCACAAGACGCGAACAATTATCAAGTTGATGCTGTAACTTTAAATGATTTGACTTCTACAAGAGCTGATAAGGAAAAAACATAATTGACGAATCTGAGTATTGTTGTCATGATTATACATTAATACTTTACATATCAAAGTCTACATGATTTACATGGCAAAGTCTAGTTGATAAATATGATACGTTTCAGTAAAGTTATTGGTTTTCACTGCTTGACGAGGGGCGTCTTACTATAAATAATCCTCATGAAAATTATTTTGTAGTATCACAACAGCATCGTGAAGCATTTTTACAGGTAAACTTCTTTCTGGTTATTCCATTAATAATAACATGGCTTACTAGACCATTAAACAGAAGACTATTTATTTTTTGAAGAATCTTTCGACAACATATGAAATTTAAAAGCGTTCGGGTTATTTATTTCTTGGTTGTTTGATTCAACACGTTTTCTAGGTGTCATGAACGTTTCTAAATAGAAATTAAATTAGGTCCGCTCTCAACGACAAATCTATCCCTATGACCGTTGTATGCTTTAGAAAAAAACTTAAACGTTGGGTTTTATTTTCATAATATGCCATACGTAAACGATAATAAGTTAGTTTTATAGGTTTAAAAGGGATTACTGTTTTGTACACATTAGATGTTTAAATGCAATAAAGTTTTTTAACAAATTCTTTAGCTAATTCTAAGTGAAATCCAATTAGGAGCTGGTCAGTTATAAAATGCATAACCTAAACGAAATTTAACCCTTTCCTTACCAAACAATTCTCATTGGGTGAATAAATTCACCTAGTAATTAGTTCGTAAAATTCACTTAAAGACAAACTTGACAGTTAAAGGTTTAGTACTGTGTTAAATTAAATAATACCAAAATTATTTAAGGTTTTAAATGACAAAAAAAACTCAACATTACATCATCTGATCATTAGAAGCTACCGTGTGTTATATGCATATATTCTAGAAGATGTTGTTAGATATCTATCAGGTATGCTACTAAGGTGAGATGATATTGTTTGATTTAGTGTTGAGCATGCTACTAAGGTGAGATGATATTGTTTGATTTAGTGTTGAACATGCTATGGTGAGATGATATTGTTTGATTTAGTGTTGAGCATGCTACTAAGGTGAGATGATATTGTTTGATTTAGTGTTGAACATGCTACTAAGGTGAGATGATATTGTTTGATTTAGTGTTGAACATGCTACTAAGGTGAGATGATATTGTTTGATTTAGTGTTGTAGCATGCTCAACACTAAATCAAACAATATCATCTCACCATAGCATGTTCAACACTAAATCAAACAATATCATCTCACCGTAGCATGCTCAACACTAAATCAAACAATATCATCTCACCATAGCATGCTTTCAACACTAAATCAAACAATATCATCTCACCACATGCTATGGTGAAATGATATTGTTAGATTTAGTGTTGAGCATGCTATGGTGAGATGATATTGTTTGATTTAGTGTTGAACATGCTATGGTGAGATGATATTGTTGGATATAGTGTTGAGCATGCTATGGTGAGATGATATTGTTGGATATAGCGAAAAACATGCACTAAAATGATACGATATTACTACGTTTGGTGTGTAGCATACTATGGCAACAAGATAAATCGTTAAGTATAGTGTAGATAATATGTTAGGATGAAATGAGGTTCGGTATAGTGTTGAACAGAGCTGAGTGGGACGAAATTGTAAGATATGGTGTAGAACAGATGTTAGTATAAGAGGATTTTGTTATATACGCTGTTGAAGATAGACGAGTTGGAGGGAAGTTGTTCCATATTGTTTATTTCATATACTACAGTGATGATTTGTTCTTTTATTTGGTGTTGAATGTAACTGTGTGTTAGGAAATTGTAAAATATGATGTAGCTCCTTTGCTACAGTGAGATGACGATACGGTGTGGATTATATCTAAGTGAGAAGAAATAGTTAGATATGGTGGTGTAGAACATATGGTAAAATTATAGAACTCATGTTAATTAACCTAGCATTATTAACTGTGATCTATAAAGTATGTTAGCTTGAAAGGCTGTTTCTTCACACATTGAATAAATGTTCTAAAAATCACGTTGGAGTGAGGGAATATCGTGTAATTTACAATACACTATGATAAGGTCTAATAGGTTTCTACACTATAATAGGGTGTTAAGTAAGCGCTACAACGATGATATATTATCGTAATTAATTTTTTAGTGGCTACAGTGTTTGAAATGAAGAAAGACTAGGTAAAAATGGTTTTGTTTTCATATAAGTGTTAAACAAAACACTATTTTTTTTGTATAATACCCATCGTAATTTTTTCATTTGTTTTACACAGGACAGATAAGTCAAAGTGTTATACGATAAACTTTCCTGTTGAATGTAATTACTTATTTTACTAGTAAGAAATGATTTATTTAAAATCTTTATTCACTCCATTTTCTTCCAAACAGGACTACAGAGGTATCAACGAAAAAATATTGAAAAAAATGAAGACCATAGTCTGCGTATTTTTAATTCTTCTTGAGCTTCAGGTAAGAAAATAATTTCTCAAGAAACGGTCTGGTGACAGTTTGATAATAATCTTATAACTGGTTCTACTTCTGTGTGTTTGTTAACACAACTTATATTTGAAAATATACATTGGAAAATATGTGTTATCTGTCCACTGCCGTCCATAAATTATAAGTGATACACCAGAGAATGGGCAGCTTGAAACGGCACCTATCGTAAACTCTTAGGCCTCAAAGTGTGGAGGGCATTTTTTCTTTTTTAACAATAACATGGTGCGAACAGTGAACCTTTGGATTCACAGCCCTGGTACATTATCTACGGGTCACGCAAAGACCATATATATATGTATAATAACTTTATGTCCAATGTGAATGAGACATTGACCCATCAAACCCTTCAGTCTGCAAATTATAATACCAGCGTTAGTAATATACTGAAAAAGAGATGTTCCTTATTTTTGTTGAAAATAGTTTATTACATGGATATATTATTAAGTTCATCAATAGCATCAAGAATGACATGACGAAGTATCTTATGCTTTATATTTGTATAAGCAAAATAACATTTTCATCGTTCTTTCAAAATTAAATCGGACTTTTAACCACCTGTTGAAGGTTAGTCGTACTTCATAAAAATGAATTACATATGTTAATGCAAAAAGCTTTTCCGAATATGCGAAACGTGGCATCATGTTTATTGCTGTTAGCAAGATAATAATAAAAACAGAATATGATGGTAAGCTTACAAACCAACACCACAGAAGATCCCAGCCACATCTTGTAATCAATGGCTGTTTTTATGAGAAAGAGGGTCGAAGAAAGAAAAATTGTAAGAAATTCACACCTATCAACTTTACGATGTGATTCCAATAAATGTTTGTGCCTTTATGTAGTTAAATTGATCATGGAAATCGACATCCCCGTACAGTGCAGGGACTGCAGGACATTCCTCAAAATATGTTGTCAATCATACTCCTTCATCTTTTGCACAAGCTTGTTACAGTTAAAATTTCTATGAAGTAACTTTGCGTAATAACTTATTAGACTGAGCAAGATCGCAAATTGAAAAATTATATCCAATGACAGTATAGGAATCTACTAAAGTTTCCATGTCATCACACTGGTATATGAATTATATAACTTATATTATATATTTCAAGTAAACGTTTGCAGCTTGCAATATATCCTGTCAATCTAATTATTGACGTTGAAGGCATAATGGGCAAGAAACATTCAAGTTTCGACATTTCATTTGTTTGTTATCTTAACAGATTTATATTTTGGAAACTAGTGTAATAAACGAAGTAACCTGCGTATGCCAACTGTTTTCCACCTTATTTTCCTTGTCTGATGAATGGGAAATCTATGTGTTTATTTAACGTTTTCTTGTCTTCTTTTTAGGATTAAAAACAAGTTATTTACATTGATGGAATATAACAAAAATAGGATTTATGGAGATGTGAAATTGGTAGTAAGAATTCATTGGTTAAAAAGCAACCGAATGGAAATTATATATTGAAGATATACTATTGGTATATTTGAAGCAATCAATAACAAATATATTGTCTTTTACTCCCAGCATTTACACTATGTTGATGTAAGTTTTGAAGAATATGTAGCATTATTAACACTAATTTATTCTTCTAAATTTATCAACAGACAAACTGTTTGTGAAATTAAAATAAAATATGAAGCACCTTGTTTGTCATTTTATTCATGATTTGTTACAAAATCTTACTGGTTTCAGAGAATTCCATCTCTCATAAGTAACCCAGAGAAGAGTAAACCGAAAATAAAACGAAACTTGGCTTCTTATTGTGATGACTTGTATATAATAGTTATATTGTTTTTGATGTAATTGAAGCACCACAGTGAACTTACATTTATAAAATAGAAGTTGCAAAAATTACGTATGATGTAAGGATGGCAATGCCAAATAGGACAGAAACAAGGTAGATATGAATACATAAAACTGTACATAAATCACTACATAATTAGCCAAATCTTTCTAAGAATAATCTGCAATTGAATGTTGAATTCTTGTCAATAGCAAGAATTCAGGTTTGAATAAAAACATTTATACTTAATAGTAGTGTAGAATCTTACAGTGGCTAATAAACATAAGTTTGTGAGATTGACTCAGTACTTACTGACTAGTTATGTAGGGATTTTTGTATGGTTTTATGTATTTATCCCTACCTTGTTTCTGTACTTTTTGGCATTGATGTTCCTACATCATATTCAGTTTTTTCAATTTTTTTATTACTTGTTTCCCCCTCTTATTTTTAAACAATTTCGTTGAAGTAGGTTGATAAGTGAACAGTTGTTATATTTATATAATTCAATGCTAATATATATTGTTAATATCACATCAGTTTTGTCAGTTTCTCTAATTTTGGATTACATTGGGGGACAATGAAGCTGAAATGGTTCCTGAAGCACTGGATTAACATAAAGAGGATACTTACAAAACCCATGCCTTCCAACCTCACCCCAACTCACTGCAAGTGCATACAATCCACTCCACCACATGCTAGAGTTATGCCAATTAATAAGGAGGATATCATACAGATCCTACGTCATGAAGTATTATACCACACATACACTGAAAATTTGAAGAAAAGTAGATCAGTATAATGTATTATTTTGATAGTTAAGAAACTGGTGTTTTCAAACTCAGACATCAGTAATATGTACACAGATCTGTCAGTTGCATAAATACTTGATACCTTGAATATGTATTTCGATTATTCTCTCTTTATTTATTTATTTTTAATGAAATTATTGTAACAGATATCATGTTTGTGTAATGAAAAATGAAGACACAAAAGGTCGATATCTGAGAACAATTTGTGCTTCCATCTTGCGACCAGAAATGAAACTGTTGTTTATGAAACATGGAAATAATATATGCTTATAAACTGAACTCACTGTAGTGTTCCTTTTTATTATTTCTCCATAAAAATACGTGTGATAAAAGAACAGAATAATATTAATGTTATACAAGCTGTGAAATACTCAGTAATTGCAATTAGGTACTCAAAGAGCTTATAGCTCAACTTTATCAGTTATTTGTAAGAATCCTAGTGTAGTAGATTGAATGCAGTGGCCATTTTTTCCAAGGCCCACTCCTACATACTAAGCACTACCATGCTTAGTGATAGGTTTTGAATAATATATTATAATAACACTATTCATTTATTCTTCTGAATTATACAACCGACAACTGTTCATGTCTTAGATATGATCTTCACTAAAAAGAAGGGATAAAAATTATTACATATTGTAAGTAACTAATATGCACAAGTACAAAAAGGTCACCCCTAGCTAATCTATGTACTTTGGTTACTCTTTGTTGTTCATAAGAATCTATTTATTGAAAACATGTTATCTCAAAAGTTGATAATTTTCTGGGAGGTTTTGTTAACTCGATAACAAACATTTCATAGACAGGAAATAGTAATTTGATATAAAGTTATCAAAGAGTTAAAGAAGTAAAAGTTAGAGAAGCTGTTAGCCTTGGACTAAATGTTCAATCAAACAATCGAAAGATTTAAACAGATAATTACTAAAAGTCAACTGGGAGTTTTACCTACCTTTCCTGAGATAATTCAAGTTTCAATGGCTGTAAACTAAAGATTACAAGGTTGCTACACACTATGTCCAACAAATTATCATTCATATGAATATTAAGAATTTGAAATTTGCAACAATATTGTTCTGTATCCTACTTTATTGTATTTAAACCACGTACTTTAAGATGTGATAGATGAAAATATTGCAGACAAATTTTAATGCTCTTGATAATGTTGCATGCAGGAAGGATGGACCTAAACTCTCACACGTGGGCTCACATTTGTTCAGTATCATTTCTTACTTTTTTCTATTTACGTTTGTAGAAAAGTTGTAATGATTTTCTTTACATTTCATAAACTGACAAAAAGAACCTAGCTTTAGACAAGATTGGAAAAAATATGTATTCTATCCAAATGCTCAATCAATGTGACCATCTTTCTTCTATGAGAATTTTAGCGAATATGCTTTATCTTGCACATGGCAAGATTTCCTTGAAAAGTCACTTCCTATAAATCACAAGCAATACTGAAAAACACAAATATTTATTGGAAGCAACTTTAACAACTGCTTTAGCTAAGGTTTCAATTTTATTGATGTAATCAAATGTTTCATGATTAATTTATGGTTCAAATAAGTTGTATAATTGAAAGGCATTATGAGTTGCACTTCTGTATTATAGAAATAAATTTATAAAGTTTCCTTTCAATAGGTGATTCTGAGCTTTCCAGGTTTCGATGGATGTAGAAGTCCCCAAGATTGTGACAAATCATCATGTTGTGTAATCAGTAAGTTATTTTATTAATCTCAAACATTAATGTTCTTTATTGGGTTTTGTGTTCTGATTTGTAAGTTTATATGTTTTTCATATTTTTGTTCTTACAATAAACACTTGTATTTTATATCAGGTTATTCACTTTTATTTCTTCTTCTTCTCACCACTGTTGAAAGTCTCTAAAATATTTTTCATTTTAGTAGGATTTATTTGGTATAAAAATATTATCAAACTAAAGTTTTACTTTTATTTCTATTGAAAAAAATCATAGGAGAATGGCACATTAGTTGCAAAATAACTTAATGTTTTATTAAGTTTATCTAGTTCTAGCTTAATAGAATATTTTTCCAATACTACAGTGAGGGAAATTTTATTAAATATGGATATTTTAAATGAGTGAGAGTAAATATCTGGGAACGCTGGACAAATGCTCTGAATTGCTGCCTCAGGTGATAGGGGAGGGGAGTAGTTATAGTTTTAGTTTATCTCACCAGAGGTTGCGTTACTAGGGTAGGGAATCACATCATAGCTAGAGTGCTACTGACCAGAAGGTGTTGCTATAAATAGATATTGTAACTAAGTGGACGGTATTTCTATAGGAATATGCTGTTACCAAGGTTTTATAGGCAGATGGTGTTACTAAGATCGGTTTTTATATAGGCGGACAGCTTTATTAGGGTCATTTTTACTAGGGGTGATGTTACTATAGGCGAATAGTTCAATATAATGATGAGTTCATCATAGGATGTCTCAACATGTGGTTACTTTATCAGTTTTTTGTTTAATATTTATCACCCCTACTGTTTCGCATTTATAAGTTAAATGGTGAGACCATTGTATTTTGAAATACTGATTACAGCTTTTAGACACAAAAAAAGTTTTGTGTATAAAAGTTTTTCATAAAAGTTTTGAATACTTATTCGAATGAGACAACTATTATAACATAGTGTATTACATGTGACATTTTTAAAGTTTTATTATGCATACTATCTTAATTTTATCCATTATTTGAAAGAGACAAATATTATATTGTTACGTCTCCGTTTGTTAATTGGTTTTCCGTAACTTCGTTCCGACGAAACTTTAGCGACACAAGTCCTTACTTAATAAAACTGGTTTATTCTTTCCGAATATAACTTTATGATACACTTAATTTCAACATTCGCGCTAAAACAAACACTATAACGAACGAACGTTAACTTCAACAATACCCTTTGACTGCAGGTCAATTACTCACTACCTACACACACATTATTGTCCCGTCACGTTGTCACCCTCTTATATATACCAGACTACCCTATATCTAGTAATCTCCCGACAATTCACGAAGGTACAAGATATTTCCAGAAAGCAGGGGCGTGACACTAGTTACGTGACCTCGCTGACGCAACAGTATCATAGCCAATAATTTACCATTTACAATTATCTTTCACTTTATGTATAAAACACTTCGCTAGTTCATTACTTCCATAGTTTACAGTATGATATGTCATACTACTTGAAAAGTTTTTATCAAACCTAATATTTTGTTTCTATAAATATTGAACAAGACGATAGCGCTTTTTTATGCATCGACTTAGTACACATTTAACGTACTAATTATAGTTTTTGCTTTTGTATCTAATTTGCGTGATATACCTTTTCCATTTTTTTGATGTTTTATATGTCAAAAACCTATTGCTAATTCACTACTTTTCATTTCTATGATTAATTAATATATTGTATAACATTTATTTACTCTCAAAATATTTAAATATAAAAAAAATAATTTCATATTTAGCTTTATAAGTAGATTTGCTTCACTAAAGTTTAGTTTTAAAATATCTATGTAAATAACTCTGTTTAATGATTACTATTTTATAAACTTATATTCTTACGATTCTGTAGAAATTTTCACAAACTTTGTCTAAGGCTTGTTTTTTGCTGGCTTGGAACTTTACACATAATGTTGACTGAAACTATATGGATATAGGCGTTTTTCAAAAAATAGGCTCGATAAACTCTAATTTTAGGAATAGGGATACATTGTATATCACTCTACATAAGTATGTAGTATTCTTATCTTTTCTTTGTGTCCGGCATGGCCAGGTGGTTAGGGCGCTCGAATCGCAATCTGAGTGTCGCGGGTTCGAATCCTCGTCACACCAAAGCTTTTAGCCGTGGGGAAGGCGTTATAATGTGACGGTCAATCCCGCTGATCTCAAATTAGTATGCTTTTCATACATCATAGTTGAGAGTATAAGACAAAGTTCTGAGTGGTTGATGGAAGAGCAATGACTGAACTGACAGACCTAGGGGCATAAGGCTGAAAATTCCTGAAATCTAAGTCCCCCATATTGTATTCCTAATAGACCATTTTTGTTTGATTACATATTTAAAATTCTTTTGTGTGCATTCAGTTATTTTAGTGATGCCAATCATGTTTGTAATTTAATATTGTATTATTTTATTTATATAAGACAAACCCATACTTTTTTGTATTATAAATTAGCAGAGTACCTGGGGTTGATTGGATGAAAATGACTTTAAATATCCTGAGTTGTTTTGATTAAATCAACCAAATTAATTGTGATTTTTTTGCAAAAAAAAAATCAAAATGATTTCTTTACCGAACTAAATATTTGATTAAAACCAATAAAAATAGCAATGTCTGAAAAATGTCAGTTTGCACCTGAAGTAAAAATGTCCACCTATCGAAAGTGCCCGGGTTATAGGGTTTTTATGATTTTATATAATTTTATCTTGAACCAACATGTTTTTCTGAACAAAATTAAAATTTGCTAAATCTGTTTTAATTAAAGCAAAACCATGTACATTGCTCCTTCTTCTTACATGTGTGCCCTACATGGCCAGGTGGATAAGGCGCTCAACTCACAATCTGAGGGTCGCGGGTTCGAATCCGCATCCCACCAAACATGCTCGCCCTTTCAGCCGTGGGGGCGTTATAATGTGACGGTCGTTGGTAAAAAAGTAGCACAAGAGTTGGCGGTGGGTGGTGATGACTAGTTGCCTTCCCTTACACTGCTAAATTAGGGACGGCTAGCGCGGATAGCCCTCGTGTAGCTTTGCACGAAATTCCAAAACAAACAATCTTACATCTGCTTTGCATGACATTTCAAGTTTCCAAAACAAAGTTCCCTACCTTTTAGTGTCCTGATTTCTGCTGTGTGGTCAAGTGTCGTATCTTGCCTTTATTATCATCCCGTGTAACTATCTTGTTTAATATTTATAAAAACAAAACATTAGGTGTGATAAAAACTTTTCAGGTTGAATGATGTATTATTAGAGAAGTGAAAACTATAGAGCTAATGAACTAGCGAAGTGTTTTATACATAAGACGACAGATAATTGTAAAAGGTAAATTACTGGCTATGATATAATATCTGTCTCATTCAAATAATGGATAAAATTCAGATAGTATGTGTAATAAAAACTTTATACATGACATATGTAATACACTTTATGTTATGATAATTCTCACGTTCAAATAATGGTTTTACTTCTGAAGTATTCATAACTTTCATGACACATTCAATTTAATTATTAGCTGGAAAACAATTAGTGACATTAACTGTCTCATTTAAATAGTAGTGTTAATTGTAACTTTTTAGGGCATATAATTAAATATAGACTACAATGTTGATTATATATGTTAAAACTATAATCATATTTAAAATACAATTGTCTTGTGGATTAACTTATAAAATAATGAAAGTAATCAGAGACACCACCCATTTGATCTATCCATCTATAGTAGGGCTGTCCTTAATAACACCACCCACCTGTAGTAATACTAGCCCTAGTAATACTGTCCGCCTATAGAAACAATGACACCATCTGCCTATAAAACCTTGTAAACAGCATCAGCCTATAGCAACACACCCTCTGAGTAAAACTCTAACTATTATTGCACTTCTCCCCTTACAACAAATCCTGGAACTATGATGTGACCCCCTCCCCTAGGAATTCACCCTCTGGTGAAATAAACTATAACTATAACGATCATCGTCTCTACTCTCTCCCCTATCTTCTGAGGCAGCCAATCAATGCGTGTGTCCAAAGTGTCCCGATAACTAGTGCGTTAGTCAATTCAATTATATTATAACCAATTTTCATTCTATGCACATAAATAAAACAGCCGAAATTAAAGCTTTTTTTACTGACATTGAGAAAATTTCAATCCAAAACAACTTTAATGAAACTTCAGTTCTATTGTCTCCTTTTTACTATGTTTGCTTCCCTAATTTTTTTTACCAACTATACGTTTATCCTACACTGACTCGGATGCTCCATGCATACTCCTCTAAATGTTATACTTTGTTTGTGACTATATCTTTTAGTAAAAGTTTTTATCTACAGACTGGAGCTATTCTAGACGTATCTTACACCATTTCGAATTTTTAATTGCATAAATGGATATTAGGGAATTTTTTTCGTACGTCTATTCTGTTGTTTGTAGTGAAGCACAAAGCTACACAATGGGCTATCTGTGCTCTGCCTATCATGGCTATCGAAACCCAGTTTTTTGGCGTTGTAAGTCCGCAGGCATACCGTTGTGCCACTGGGAGGCACATCTATCAGTATCTATTCTTCTAAATAACTTTAATAATACGGACAAATAAAATTATGTCAAACAATAAAATTGCAATGATATAAAACTACAACATATGACTACAAAAATAACCGAAGAATGATCACATAAAAGTAATATGACATATTTCAGTATAAAATGAGCACTTACACTTTGATTTCTTTGTGTGCTATTGAGCTCTACAAATACTCCATTGCGACGTACCGTAATGCTATTAATGCCTTTTTTCTCTGTTTACTTTTATTTAACAGATAAGTAATGTTGAAATTTGTTCTCATTTCCTGTGTGCTTCTCGAAATTGTAACGTTTATTTTTTTAAATTGCAGCAATGGAGAAATACAGTGTACCACATTGTAGAAAACTAGGAAATAAAGAAGAGTACTGTCGCACCAGGAACAGTGCCCAAAATATGACCCTCAACTATCCTAACGGCTCTGTGGACGTTTTTGGTGTCTACCGTATTCTATGCCCCTGTAACGATGGTCTGGAATGTGTGCAGAGTGTTTGCCAATTGCTTCATTCTGATACAATCTTGTAAAAGAGCTTGAAATTCCTTCAACTGCTTTTGTTAAATACCTCTATGACGAAACTGACTTTATCTAAATTCCATAACTAAGATATTTTTAATTCAAAGTGTTTGTTTTTCCGTAGTATATTTGTTGTATTGATATTTCTTCCCCGAGTTTATGTTAATGAATTCGGATCCATCTTAATATTGTGAAAATTCTAAAACAAACACTCAATCGTCTGTTGCATTCAATAACCAACTTAATCTCTTTTTCATGTGAGCTTCCTTATCATAAAACTTACAAATAAAAAGGCTTATTGAAAATGAATACTCAGTAACTTATAGAAAAAAAATGCAACCGAAAAGCAATAACTAAGTTAAGGGTAATATGCATATATTCAGATATACATATGTAAATAATAAGCAAGAAGTCATCGTTGTCCACACTTTATTAGAAATGCCCTAACTTAAAAACAGAAAATCTAGACTAATCCACACCAAACTATTCACATCAAATTAGATACTATTTACCGAAACACAATTAGTGTTAGCGATTTCGTATCTTAATCTAACTTCATTTATTAACGTTTCTGACGAATTAAAAACGCTTCATAAATATACAAATTTTCAACGGCATATATGTCATAGAGGTATTTTTTCGTATGTCAGGTTCATAATGTTAACGATTTTGATTTAATTCGTAAATCGTGTGTGTTACAATTAATTATAGCTAGTTTGGAATGTTGTGTAAATTTCACATTAATATGAAACGACTTATCCATAAGTCTCTGTGATTTTGAATATGGAAAGTCATCTAGAATTAAACTATTACAAATGTATGCTTTTTGAAATTTGTAAACAAACAAACAAAAAAACAACCGTTAGTATAAAAATTCATCTTTATTTTTATTCGTTTTACTTCAACTAATTAGTTTGATATCTTGGATAGTATTATAAAAATATAATTTGAATAATAATGTGAAGGAGTAAGAATGTAATTTTGTGTTTATATAAAAGCTTTACAGTAATTTTAACCAAAGCTTACAAATCTATTTTCAACTGTAATTTAAGAGTGCGAGGATAAGAGAACTGTTTGTTATAATTTGATGAGCGCTACGAACATTACCAGATGTGTGATCAAAGCCACATTAACTTAAACCTCCAATACTCACCTAGGAATGCTGAAGCTACATGGGCAGTGTGTTATTCTGGAAAACAAAAAAAATGTATGTTTAAGTACGTAAAAATAGGTTAGTAAAAGCCTATAAGCTTTGTTTGTAGTGTTTTACTTTTTGGATAATCAAAATCGACGTAATTCAGATGTACCTGTTTGCTTAATATGTTTTGGGTACTGGCGCAGAACTACACAAGGGCTATTTGCGCTGGCTGTCCATAGCAATGAACTGATATATTAGAAAGAAGACATTTAGCAAACAGCACCTCCCATTAACTATTGGGCTATTCTAAACGAGTAGTGAAATTTTATTGGTCAGTGTTATGAACCATATATGGCCCAAAAGTTGGGAGCACGATTTTTGGCAACGAGGCGCAAACCACAAACTCTCGGATTTATAGTCTGGCACACTGCCTCTTGGCCAGCCCAGCCTAATTGGATAAGACAAACACAGTTCAACACACTAATGTTTAATATGAATTGGTAAAGAAATATATTAATTGTACTCCAGTTTGTGTAGGCCTTGATGTAAAGAGTGATTGTTTTTAAGATCGTGGAAATCTTTAATTTTATTAAATAAAAATGATTACATCGATGTCATTTTGAAATACATCGACATGTTTTGTTGCTAATAGTTTGTCCACTTCAAGTTCTGGTTAGCTGGATGATCAAATTTATCAAGTATAACGTAACTGAGGCACCGAATAATTGTGGTGTCAAAGTGACGGCTCGTGTATTAGATACTTTATTAAGGATATTTTGTTTCTAATTAGTTATTCAAGTCCTAGACGGCTTCTTCCTGATATCAAATGTTCTTGTCCTTTACGATTCATCCCTTGTTTTAGAAATGTTATCATAAATACATTTAATCAACACTACAAAGTATTCAATTAATAATAAAACTAGGCCTTTTCTTAGGTTTAAAGCTTTCATTAGACTCCCATCTATTAAAATAATGTGTTGTAGATATTTTTAAAAGCTTGAATTGAGTTTGGGAAATATGTAATAAAGATGTTTGCGTTTACCTTGCTAAACACCAATAATTTATTAATTTACAACCTTGAAGACAGTTTTGAAATTACTTATTTGGTTGAAATGGTTACTACTGTCGGTAGGGCTCTTTAGGGTTAATCAGTAAAACCCCCTTTCGAGACGGGTCACGGGTGAAAGGCCATAGCATCTCGTTTGTT